TCAGCTAGCTAGCTAGCCAGCTCCAATCCATGTCAGGCAAAAGGCTGTCAGTGAAAAGGAATTGATTTGGAAGAAACATGCTGCAGTAACATGATTATTCTTACAACTAGATTAGTTAAAATCTCTTTTAGTGCTTTAGCTAGCTAACTTAGCTAAGTTAGCTAATGCTAACACTAACCCTAAACCTCAGTCCTTTTCAAAAAATCCCTTTACCAGCCAGTCTGTGAATTTATACATTTCAGAGTATGAAAATATAGCATTCAGGTCTAGATATGCTATATTAGCACAGCCTTTGTGTATTTTTTCCATAGGGAGTCCAGTGGACAAACGCTAACTTGCTGTGTTGATCTACTTTGGAACCGGATAGCATGACTGACTGATATATGCCCACTTTACCACCCAGACTAGTTCAGTTCAGTTCAGTTCAGAATACTTTATTAGTCCCAAAAAGGGCAATTCATTTGCAGCTTTCTCGTCCATACACACGACTGTACATATATACACACACATACGTCAGAGACACCAAATCCACATACATAGGTAAATGCATAAATAAATTATGCAGGATTACTGTCCTGCATACAAGGTCTAACTGGTTTTAATCTCCTCAAACAGATTTTAAATCCACACAGACTTTTATTTTGGAAAATAAGACAAATATTACAAACAACTGAGAGAAAAAAATTATGAGTGGGCCTAATCTAAAATTAGTTGAAAGTGGTGTCACTGCTGTGAAAACTGTGAAATTATTTACTAAACTAATTTACAAAGAATAATGAAAGAAAGAATGAAGGAAAAGTGAGTAAACTGGGCTGTGAGTGCAAAGTGAGAGATGAAAAGTGTCTCTCTGTCTAACACTCTGCTTAATCACCGGTGGGCCGCCCAGACAACGCTGAGCAATAAGCCAGTGGGCTGCCAGCATTGGCGTCACCGGGCCGTCAGTGGCCCTCTATCCTCGTACTGTCTGAGGACAACCATCATAACACATTTTATCATTTTAAATATTTGCTAGTAAAGAATCACCACTGCTGCTATAATTTATGACACAAATGGATGTAAAAGTGAACACAGCATGAAAGTCACTGACATTTCTGACCTTTAGCACTTGCTCTTGTTTCAAAAGCAGCTTTACAAAAGCCCCTCCAGCCCACCTTCTGCTTAAGGCATTTATAAATGCTACAGTCAGGCTCTTCCCCATTCCTCAGATTGCTCTGCTGAGCTGTGTACATTTCTGCTCTACACTGTCAGAAATAAAGGTTCTGTTCAGGTACATTTTTTGTTCATCAAGGTAGAAACAGTGTAAATGTTCCCTCAAAGCTCCAACAGTGGTTTTAAGGTCTGATTGTGAACCTTAAATAAGTTTTTCCAGGTGAAAAGTTCGTATTTGTACCTTTTCATAACCAAATGTTTTAAACAGAACAGCAAAATAAAAGCCTGGAGACGAGACGGGGTGTGTGGAGTCAGTACAGCTTAGAACATATCATTTCAGTGGATTATGGTTCAGTTATGTTCCCTGACTAAAGGTACTGAGATGGACCACTGAAGGTTCCACCCCAGTGACAGGAGGGGAACTGACCCAGAGACAGTTTAGTACCTTTTTTCTGAGAGTGTATATTAATGCCGCGTTTAAGTCCAACACTGACAATCAGACAGAGTCTAGTGGGTGAATGCCAGCTAGCTGTGTAGAGCGACTGTCTGAATTAGCATGCGCGCTGGGCCTTATCGCTGCTGTGTGTGTGTGTGTGTGTGTGGGTGTGCGAGTGTGTGTTCAAGCTGCTGTGGGTTGTGGTCGGGCAAAGCGCAACAACAATAAAGCAAACTTAACTCACACTTACAGTGTAGCGAGGCCAAGATAGCAGTTCAGCGCACAGCTAGAGCTAAAACAGTGGGGCTTTGTGGAAAATATTAATGTAATGCTAACATTAGTTACTCACATTCAGAGCTGAGCTGTTTTTAGATACACACTATTATTGACTCACACAGTCCAGCAGAACTTCTCTTCATGGATTTCAGGTATCTAACTTCATCTGTAGCAGCCATTAGAGACGGCTTAGCAACAAAAACAAGTTCTGTATGGCGACAGCTAATGTTCACGTTAATATCACCAAGTGACCCCATTTCGCAGTGTGCAGAGCTAGAACACTGTAACGTTACTGAAGTTGGTGCTGACAGAATGGATTCAAATGACTTTTTTGTTTGATGGTTTTGAGCGTTTCTCTGCCTCTTCATTTTCAGTGTAACAGCATTTGGATGTAGCGTTGGCATGGAAATGGGAGCAGTGGAACCATTAAAATGGGGGTAGTACAGCCATGGAAATGGGAGCAGTAGAACCATTAAAATGGGGGTAGTACAGCCATGGAAATGGGAGCAGTAGAACCATTAAAATGGGGGTAGTACAGCCATGGAAATGGGTGTAGTGGAACCATTAAAATGGGGGTAGCACAGCCATGGAAATGGGTATAGTGGAACCATCAGAAAGGGTATAGTGGAACCATGGAGATGGTCATAGTGGAACCATGGAGATGGGTGCAGTGGAACCATGGAGATGGGTGTAGTGGAACCATGGAGATGAGTGTAGAGGAACAATGGACATGGATGTAATGGAACCATGGAAGCATAGGGATAGGTATAGTGGAACCATAAAATTGGGTGTAATGGAACCACAGGGATGGGTGTAGTGGAACAATGGAGATGGGCACAGTGGAACCATGGAGATGGCTGTAGCAGAACCATGGCAATGAATGCAGTGGAACGATGGAGATTGGCACAGTGGAACCATGGAGATGAGTGCAGTGGAACCTTAAAAATCTGTGTAGCCCAGATATCAAAATTGTATTTATTTGACAAACTGAATAAATCGCATGTTTACAGTATTTAAACTGCTTCTTGTGGAAATTAAACATCTAAAGTGCACCATATGAAGTGAGGCAATAAGCTACTGTTGTAGCCTATTATTATTATTATTATTATTAGGCTAATAATAACAATAACAGACTTTGTCTTTTTTATTAACTTCACAGAATCAAAATCATGTAAGTTTTGCAATCGAAGGCGTTCCATGCACGAAGGCTGCAGCACGATTTTATCTGTTTAACAAGAAGAACAAAAAAAATGTCAGACCTCACGGACTGATATGGTCACGAACTGCACACTGAAGAAAACCAAGATTACAGGACGATGCTCTTGTCCATCTTAAAGCTGCAGACGGTGCATTTTCTGTCATTTGAGTCGTCCAAGTCGATTGTCAGTCAAGATAGATGGAAACTGTCCGCGCTTCATTCTACGGCTCCCGCCCACAGCGCGCCATTCAGACACACACAGACGTGAGTGTGAGTGTGTGTGAGTGAGTGTGTGAGTGTGTGAGTGTGTGAGTGAGTGAGAGGCCATGTTAACACCTCTTGCAGATGCATTTACGTATCTGCTGTGGCCCGAAAACCACACGCTCACAAACGCTGCTCACGAATAAGCAGAGAAGTCAAAGGCTAAGCTGGTTTCCTAAATTTGGCCAGCGTGCTGCCGGCCGGCACTTCCTGTATTTCAGCCACTGATTCACACTCAGTTCTCTATGAGCACATTCAGAGTTCCAGTGCATAAAACAGCTCCATTTAAGGTCCAGTCCAGAGTGCACAGCAAAGGACACACTTTGTGGCCTCAGCGGTCACTGCTCAAGTGCCTAAATTGACGCTAAATCGACTGTCGGAACAGATTAGGCTTAGACCGGCAGGCCGCACGCAGTTCAGTGTCCATAACATACACTCTGTTGTCATTTTGCACTCCTACGTCTACATTTCTGGTTATGAACATGCTGCCTGACGTCTGAGACGTTGTTTAATAACATTAAACAACGTGTGGTGAGGCAAAAAACAATTTTTTTCAGATTTCGCACTATTTTCCATCATTAGCGCTGCATATAAAAGCTTGTGTAGGTTCACTGGTGGTTTTGGATAGTAGATAAAATGTCTATATTTGTGTTGTAGTCATGGTAACCCCTGGTTCCTATCACCACCACTGTAAAGACATCTGAACCATTTCACACCAAACCACTCTGAATCACTCTGTTTACATCTCACACACTGAATTATGGAGGAATTTTGAAAAATTTGTGGAGTTTCCCTTTGACGTTGTAGGCTTAAAGCAGAGACACTAACAAAGCAGGCTCATAAAAAAGCTATGTTCAGTCAGTATGTCTGAAAATGGCAAGTTAACAGTCGTGAGTGGGCAAATTCAAATCAGCTTGAAAGGGGAACAGTGTTTATATTATTATATTTCATGTCTTCCCCATATTTCAGCAGCACACTCTACACTGAGGGCTCATTTTCCTCGAACACTCATTACAATACTTATATTTTTACAAAATACACATTTACACTCCAGAATACTGAGGGAAAGGGGGGCAGTAAACACATCATGTACACATAAAATTATGTATAACATTAAAAAAACAGGCCTACAGTTTTCAGCTCACTGTGTTCATCTGAACGTGTGTTAGATTTTGACGCTATTTACCGACTCCAGACATTCAGAGAGGTGAGACACAAATGAAAGACTGTAACACACTGTAACAACAGAAGAACCCTTTCTGGAGCTACATAGAACACGTTCTCCATCAAGTCTTCATGGCTCTATACAGAACACTGTTTGACTGTTCATGGTTCTATATAGCACCCATAAGGGTTCTTCGATTGTTACGCTATCAAACTTATAACAATAGAAGAACTCTTTTTGGTGCTATATAGAACCATGAACACTCAAACAGTGTTCTGTGTAGAACCATGAAAACTCAAACAGTGTTCTATATAGAACCATGAACAGTCAAACAGTGTTCTACACATTCTCAATCAACTGTTCATTGTTCTACACAGAACCCTGTTTGACTGTTCGGGGATCTATATAGAACACCGTCTGAGTGTTCCTGGTTCTATATAGAACCACTGTCTTTACTGAAGAACTTGAAGAACCACCTTTTTTTCAGAGTGTAGTTCAAAGTGTTTGTTTTGCAGGTTGGTGCTGTTTCTACTGTTCTACTGATTTAACTACTTCAGCATCAAACAAGCCTCTTCTGAGTGGAACCGACTATCAGAGCAGTGAAGACAGTAAGCCAAGCAGGCAACGGTGCTGCAGGACACTGCATTAAACAATGCATTAACTGTTAAACAACTCGTTAAGCCAGAGGTCGATAGAACACATTATCTATTAAAGATATAAAGATATAAATCATTGATAAAAACCCTTTAAGGACAAGGGTGAGCTAGAATATATGAAACATCACGCAGATCACTGAGTTATGCTTTAAATAAGCAGCATTTAAACATGTATTCATGAACACTGAACTCCTTAAACATGGAAAAGCAGCTCTAAACTGCTGAAACTGCTAAACTAACCAGCAGTTAACTCTACAGTCAACTCAGACGCTGGTGAACCGCCGCAGGCAGGCAGGGTTAACGCCACTTAATAACCTAACTCTTACAAAACGCAGCTGAAATGAACTGATTAGATCAGTGTTTATTTACAAAACCTGACAGTGTGCGGTCACTGACACGAATGACCCCGAAAATAATTGTGAGGAAATGTAGTTCAGTATTGTATCTCCATTCAGCAGGTCAAACATTTGTCTAATAGAAAACACATTATCATCAAAACATTATCATCAATGTAAATCAACATTACACTACATACATGACAGATATTAGAGGTCTAAGCTGAAAATATTCCATAAATTCAGACCAAACTAATAACAAAGACTCATTTAAGCGCTTGTGAAACACTGGATTAACCTACTGTGTTCAAAATCAAACAGCTCTTAAACCGAAGTAACGCTGTCCAGCAGCTTCGTGACCTGGTTCTTTCAACGCTCTCTGAAAGTTCTTTTTTTGGTCGAGCTACTTTTACTTCTCCTTCTAAAAGAACCCTTTTCACTCACCGACAGTGTTTACCTCGTCTGCGCTCGTCTGATTAACAGTGATTATTAGTGGAATAGTCCAGAATCTACACTCTTAAAAAGAGAGGGTTCTTCAAGAAAACAGACAATCTATTTAGAACCATGAACACTTAAAGAACACTTGGCATGCTTAAAGATCTCTGTGCATGGTGAAATGGTTCTTCAGATTGATGGAGAATGTGTTGTAGATGGTTCTATATAGCACCCATTGTTGTTACAACAGAAGAACTCTTTTTGGTGCTATATAGAACACATTCTCAATCAAGTGTTCATGGTTCTACACAGAACACTGTTTGACTGTTCATGGTTCTACATAGAGCACTGTTTGACTGTTCAGGGATCTATACAGAACACTATTTGAGTGTTCATGGTTCTATATAGAACACTGTTTGACTGTTCATGGTTCCACATAGAGCACTGTTTGAGTGTTCATGGTTCTATATAGCACCCATAAGTGTCCTTCAATTGTTATGATATCAAACCTGTAACAATAGAAGAACCCTTTTTGGTGCTATATAGAACACATTCTCAATCAAGTGTTCATGGTTCTTTATAGAACACTGTTTGATTGTTCATGGTTCTATATAGAACACTGTTTGTGTGTTTATGGTTCTACATAGAACACTGTTTGAGTGTTCATGGTTCTATACAGAACACTGTTTGAGGATTCATGTTTCTCCATAGCACCCATAAGGGTTCTTCGAATGTTAGGCTATCAAACTTACAACGATAAAAGAACCCTTTTTGATGCTATCTAGAACACACTCTCCATCAACTGTTCATGGTTCTACACAGAACACTGTTTGACTGTTCGGGGATCTATATAGAACACCGTCTGAGTGTTCATGGTTCTATATAGAACCACTGTCTTTACTGAAGAACTTGAAGAACCACCTTTTTTTCAGAGTGTAGTTCAAAGTGTTTGTTTTGCAGGTTGGTGCTGTTTCTACTGTTCTACTGATTTAACTACTTCAGCATCAAACAAGCCTCTTCTGAGTGGAACCGACTATCAGGGCAGTGAAGACAGTAAGCCAAGCAGGCAACGGTGCTGCAGGACACTGCATTAAACAATGCATTAACTGTTAAACAACTCGTTAAGCCAGAGGTCACCACTCGTGTCCACAAAGGTCCAGTGTAGCTGCAGGTTTTCATTATAATCAAGCAGAAACAAACCTGATTCCACTGGTGAGCTGTAGGAGGTGTGCACCTGCAGCCACACCAACTCTTTTTGTATATCACTTGTGACCCTTGCATTAAATGATGCATTAAACAATGCATTAAACTGTACATTAACTGGTAAATCAGACATTCACTGTGAAACTGCATTAAGCATTAAACCTATCGTTAAGCAATGCATATACTGGTAAAGAATGCATTAACAGTTAAATGGTAAACAACACATTTACCAATGCATTAGTTGTTAAATGACGCATTAAGCAACAACGCTAAGAATAATTTTTAAACAATGCACCAAACAATGCATTTACTGGTAAAGAGTGCATTAAACAATGCACTCATTATTAAACAATGCATTAAGCAACGCATTAGTTGGTAAGCAATGCATTAAACAATGCAATAAATGTTAAACAATGCCTTAATAATACATTAACTGGTAAACAACGCATTAAATGGTAACTAATGCATGTAACAATGCATTAATGGTTAAATGGTAAACAACACATTTAGCAATGCATTATTTGTTAAACGGTGCATTAAGCAACAACGCTAAGACTAATTTTTAAACCATGCATTAAACAATGCATTTGTTGGTAAACAGTGCATTAAACAATATGCTCATTGTTAAACAGTGCATTAAGCAAAGCATTGGTTGGTAAGCAATGCATTAAACAATGCATTAAATAGTAAACAATACATAAAATAATGCATTTGTTGGTGAACAGTGCACTAAACAATGCACTAATTGTTAACCAATGCATTAAACAATGCGTTGGCTGGTAAGCAATGCATTAAACAATGCATTAAATGGTAAACAATACATAAAATAATGCATTTGTTGGTAAACAGTTATACCAACATTAAAAACAATGCACTAATTGTTAACCAATGCATTAAGCAATGCACTAAATGCACTGTAAAACACTGCACTAACCCATGCAGTGACTGTATTCCACAAGCAATAAAATGCTGGAATCAGCTCTGTAACTGTGTCTGTACAGAGAACAATAACCGTAAAGCCGCTCCATCACTGAATGAACACATCTGCACTGTTCCTGGCAGCAGCGTCTGAAGGTAAACAGCACGATCATGTGTGAGTTAGCGCTCACCTGCTGAGGGGTGTGTGTTTACCCAGCAGAGTCGGCATTTAAAGAACGCAAACACGCCGAGATACGAGCAGCCTGAACAGCTCAGAGCAGAAGGTGACTCCAGATAGATTCAGAGTCCCAATTTATACATTTTATAAACTGATCAGCATCGGCCCACAATTCCCACATCAGACGTCTCACACAGATAGAAATCTGTATGAAGAGCTAGAGCGGGGGTCTCACACTCACACTACTGCAGACGGCTTCATACGTCCCCCTCACGTTTAAAACTGAGCCTTAATCACGCATACAATCTTCTTTTCCTGCATTTTGGTTTTATCTTTAATGTATTTACATGCTTTTCTTAAAGGGCTGTAAGAGAGGTACGCATCACTGCTGTCGGAACAAAACCACGTATCTCCATTTCTGTTTTTCGTTTTTCTGTTTTTGACATAATCTGAAAACCCTTTACATTGTGTGTAAATGTCCTGGTGAATGGGCCAAAAGAAACAACTCAAAATGCCTTGGAAAAAACTCTGGTTCCATTGACTTACATTAAAAGTAAAGTATGTTTTTTGCTTCTCCTGTAAAGTTACCATTTTGGAGGTTTTGTTCTGACAGCAATAATATATTTTTTCCACTTGACTAATTCTAGGTCTAAAAACACACCTGCTTTCGGGCAGCAAGCAGTCGTCAAGATATAAGAACCTTTTTGCAGTGCGTCTAAGAAAAAAGTCAATGACAGCAAATGACAAAACGACTGACAAAACGACAAAATCAAAAAAAAAGATGACCAAGATGTGCCTAAATGTAGGGATGCACATTGATATCAGAATTATATCGAAATCAGCTGATATTTGCTTTATAAAAATGATCAGCTATTGGACAGATGTTTACATTTGATCGATATTTCAAACCGATATTCGATGATGTTTTTACTGTATAACATTTACGCTTCGTTGGGTTACAGAGCTAAAATATCCGCATGTTATTCCTTTTGCTGCGCTTGGAACTCAATAGAAATAAATGTTATTTTTCTCTGTAATTATAATCCGGATTAATTTAGTCCCAATTCCTTTTTTTATTACATAAACATCAGCACCTGCAGATACGCACACTCAGATATCGGCATCGGCCCACTGTTCATTTATCGGTGCATCCCTACTTAAATAAGTCTATAAAAAGATGGTTCTTCAAGGGTTCTTTAGTAAAGACAATGGTTCTACACAGAAACAAGAACACTCAAACATCTGCATGCTTCAAAGAGTTTTTACATGGTGAAATGGTTCTTCAGATTGAAGGAGAATATGTTGTATATGGTTCTACATAACACCAAAAAGGGTTCTGCTACTATTATGATGTCAAGCTGTTTTCAAAGAAGGTTCTATACAACACATTCTCCATCAATCTGAAGAACCATTTCTCCATGCGTTCATGGAGGTTTTAGACTGATCAAGAATACTTTGTATATGGTTCTATATAGAACCAAAAAGGGTTCTGCTGTACTTATGATGTCAGGCTTGTGACAATAGAAGAACCCTTTTTTGTGCTATATAGAATCATTTTCAAAAAGGTTCTGTACAGAACCATATACAACACATTCTCCTTCAATCTAAAGAACCATTTCACGTGGCAAAGAACCCTTTAAGCATGGTTCTAGATAAAACCACTGTCTTTACTAAAGAACTCTTGAAGAACCATCTTTTTTAAGAGTGTAGTTCTTATCTGGAAAAAAACTTTTTCCTGCAATTGCTCAGATGGATCTCCTTGGAGAAGACCACCAAACTAGTGACCCCCAGGTAGGCTGAGTTTGAGACCCCTGGGCTAAAGGGTGGATACTGCAAACTGTGCACAACAGATGAGCTACAAGTTCTAACCGTACACCAGCGGGGTGGAGCTTCAGGGGTTGCGGGTTTCTCAGACCACCACTGGTCAGTGGTGGTCCTATGGTGAAGTAGAGGGGGGCTGGAAAACTACGTAACTATGTGTGACACACTTAAAAAGATGGTTCTCTGAGGGTTCTTTAGTAAAGGCAATGGTTCTATTTAAAACCACAAAAATATTAAAACCATTTCATGCTTAAATGGTGATATGGTTCTTCAGACTGATGAAGAATGTGTTGTATATTGTTCTCTATAGAACCTTTTAAAAAAGGGTTCTATATAGTACCATAAGGGTTCTTCTATTGTTACAAGCTTGACATTGTAACAACAGCAGAACCCTTCTTGGTGCCTTGTAGAACCATACATGACACACTTTCAATCAATCTGAAGAACCATTTAAGCATGAAATGGTTCTATATAGAACCATGGTTCTACATAGAACCACTGCCTTTATTAAAGACCCCTCAAAGAACAATCTTTTTTAAGTGTGCAGGTGTTTCTGATAAAGTGGCCACTGTGCATTTCTATGAGCATGAGCTGAACTCACCCATCCCTCAAAGGTCTCTTCGGTGCTGGTGGTCTCCATCAGGTCCTGGAAGCGTATGGTGCAGTTTGCTATAAATTGGTCGTATCCTATAGGAGCGTCGTGGAACACGGCGAGCTCCAGCGTGGTGCCGGTGGTCACGCCCGCGCTGAACTCCTCGTTGTACGTGGGGGAGTTTGTGCGGTGCTTGGTGCGCGTCTGGCCCACGCGGTACTCGTCCACCTTCACTACGATGTAGGGGTCCAGCGACTGAGCCACTTTACCGAAGAGCGCAGCGTGGCGCGTGGCGGTGCAGGTGGGCTGCAGGTGCACCGCCTCACCGATGCGGAGCCGCATGGTGCCGGAGAAACGCATCACACACACTGCTGATACTACACACAGACACGCAATACTGAGGATGCTGAACGCTACTGCTAACGCTGCACTGCACACCACATAGAGACAGAGATGCACTAATGCACTACTACTGCTGACACTGACACTAATGCACTAGTACTGCTGACACTAACACTAATGCACTTGTACAACTAACAGTGATGCTGTAGTACTGCTGATACTGATACTAATGCACTGATACTGATGCTAAAGCACTAGTACTGCTGATGTTAATACTTATGCACTAGTACTGCTGACACTAATACTAATGCACTATAATTGCTGACCCTAATAGTAATGCATTAGTACTGCTGACACTAATACTAGTGAACTAGTACAGCTGACACTAATACTAATGCACTACTACAGCTGACACTAATACTAATGCACTACTACAGCTGACACTAATACTAATGCACTAGTACTGCTAGCACTAATACAAATGCATTAGTACTGCTGACACTGATACTTATGCACTAGTACTACCGATAATAACAATGCACCAATACTGCTGACACTAACACTAATGCACTAATACTACTGACACTAATACTAATGTACAAGTACTGCTGACACTGATACTAATGCACTGATACTGATACTAATGCACTAGTACTGCTGACACTGATACTAATGCACTAGTGCTACACTGTTACTAACGCACTGATACTGATACTAATGCACTGACACTGATACTATACACTGTTAATACTAATTGATTAGCACTGATACTAGTGCACTAGTACTGATCATAACAGTAATACACACGAGGCACACACAGACACTAATACACGCACAAATACACACACTTAGCTAGACAGACCGAATGACGCTCACTTAAATACACACTCACACACTCTTAAGCACGCGCACACTGTCAAATACAAACAGACACACATTCAGATACAAACTCTCTCTCTCTCTCTCTCTCTCGCTCTAAAGCTCCTTCATGTCCACTCCACCTGCGCCAGGTGAGCCACTCACTCCACAGTCACGAGGATCCAAAGAGACCTCCAAACAAACAGAAGCCCCTCGCCGTAGCAGAGCTGCTCGGACTGTCCGGCTGTCTCTCTGCTGCTCCGATTAACTCTCTCTCACATAGACATAGCGGCGCGTGCAGCTTCTGCTTTTGCTTCTCTGTTCCTGTTTGTGTCACATCACCTGCCCCGCTCTGTCCCCAGAGCACGCAGCGCCCCCATGCGGCAGAGCAGCGACACTACAGCCGGCTCTGCAGGTTGATCAACATCTGGAGCTTGATCACTTCTAATAAGTTTCATTCACTTTGAATAATAATAATAATAATAATAATAATAATAATAATAATAATAAATGACCCATCACAGGAGTCTGGTGTGTTAGTGTGTGTTGTGCTGGTCTGAGTGGATCAGACACAAGTGCTGCTGGAGTTTTTAAACACCTCAGTGTCACTGCTGGACTGAGAATAGTCCACCAACCAAAAATATCCAGCCAACAGCGTCCTGTGGGCAGCGTCCTGTGACCACTGATGAAGGACTAGAGGATGACCATCACAAGCTATGCAGCAGTAGATGAGCTATCGTCTCTGACTTTACATCTACAAGATGGACTGACAAGGTAGGAGTGTCTAATAGAGTGGACAGTGAGTGGACACAGTGTTTAAAAACTCCAGCAGCACTGCTGTGTCTGATCCACTCGTACCAGCACAACACACACTAACACACCACCACCACGTCAGTGTTACTGCAGTGCTGAGAATGATCCACCACCCAAATAGCACCTGCTCTGTGGGGGTCCTGTGGTGCTCCTGACCACTGAAGAACAGGGTAAAAAAGTACGCAGAGAAACAGATGGACTACAGTCTGTAACTGTAGAACTACAAAGTGCTCCGGTCTGGTCAGTGGGGCTCTACTGGCTTTTCTAATGAATTAACTGAGAAAGTTCTCTTCATATGTTATCTCTAGACTAAAACGGGTCCGTAACCAATTAACTAGTTTGTGATGAACTTTCTGTGTCCTAACAGAACTGCAACAATCAACTAGGTGCAGTTCCACATTTGGCCAGCAGAGGCCAGCAAACACTGACAGAGCTGCAGTACATAAACTGTACGTGTGGGGGTTTAGATAGAGACGGGGAGACAGAAAGATCGATATAGAGAGAGGGAGAGGAAAAGAGTGTGTGTGTGTGTGTGTGTGTGAGTGTGTGTGTGTGTGTGTGTGTGTGTGTGAGTGTGAGAGAGAGAGAGAGAGAGAGAGAGAGAGAGAGAGAGATTTGAAATATTCTCCTCATACATTATTTTTTTCAGAATTATTTTTCACAAAACCATTTTCTAACCTCACTTTATCCCTTATAATTAAACAATTAATTAAAAGATAATGTTTTGTTTGTGGCTTAAATGCTAATATATGTAAATGAGCTCAATTCGGATTGGCTACTGTTTATTTCATGTCATCACAAAAGCAATTCATTCAAGCATGCAAAACTCTGCTTTGTAGTTTAGCTTCCATATACGGACAGACGGACAGCGTGGACTGGAGAGTGAATGACACATTTTGAAACTAGCTATGTTTACGAAGTTTTCCCATGAGGCAGTCCTTTTAGCACAGCTGTAGTTTCATCACTAGATGGCGCTCCAGTACAATACTGGCCCCAGAGTGCACCATTAAACACTGAACTTTTTTAATAACTTACTTTTTTAATAAACTTACTTATTCTCTGAACTGCACTGATTTGTCTAAATAATGGATTCAACGTTAAAAGTAATATAAAATGGCAGATGAATATATAAAATCATTCTTGTGTCCTGCGCAACTGTCTCTATCTCTTTTCTCTTTTCATTAATTATTTGTAATTATGCAAACAATGAATTAAAAAAGACAAAAAAATTCTAAACTACATGAAATTGTAATAAAATAAATATCCAGAATGTCTTGTATTTCAAAAGTGTCAATCTCAAGGCAGATAACAAAAACAAAAAAAAAAATCGTATAAAAACATAATTAGTGATACGCTATTGTGCAACACTATTGTTATTGCAAAGCAGCTGTTCAAAGCCATTCTTTACCCATAAGAATGAACCGCGAAATGCTGGAGATTCTGAAACAGAATCATTCTTTGTATAGAAACCTCCACAGTCATTGTTCACTAAGCGGCCCAACGTTTATACACTCCTTATATGTCACCATGATGCAAGCCCACCAGCAACACCCTAGCAACCTCCAGAGATACCATAGCAACTACCTTGCAACACTCTAGCAACCTCCTGGAACACCATAGCAAACATTTAGCAAACCTTTACCAACCCTGAGAGATACCATAGTAACACCCCAGCAACGACAGCATATCACTTGCACTAACATAGTACCTGCTTGGCAATAACTGGCAACCATGAAGAATACCATAACAACCATCTAGGAATACCTTAGCAACCACCTGGAATACCACAGCAACCATTTAGCAACCCCCTAGCAACCATAATAACCACCTAACAACACCCTGACAGTCATCTCCAATACCATAGCAACACCCCAGCAGTACACCATAGCACCCATATTCAAATAACCTAGCAACCACCTGGAATACAATAGCAACATCCTAGCGCCCACATGGAATACCACAGCAACTATCTAGCAACACCCCAGCAACCACAGTACACCATAGCACCCATATTCAAATAACCTTGTGACCATCTGGAACATAATAGCAACATCCTAGCGACCACATGGAATACCATAGCATCTATCTAGCAACACCCCGGCAACCACAGCATACCACTGGCAGTAACTGGCAACCACTACACACACTACACAATTTAGCGTGCCCAATTGGCCTGACTGCATGTCTTTGGACTGTGGGAGGAAACCGGAGCACCTGGAGGAAACCCACGCAGACACGGGGATAATTTGCAAACTCCACACAGAAAGGATCCTGGTCACCCGGCCGAGAATCAAACCCAGGCCCTTCTTGCTGTGAGGCGACAGTGCTACCCACCGCGCCTGGAATACCATAGCAACCATTTAACAACCCCCTAGGAATCATGACAGACATCATAAAAACCACCTAACAACACCCTAACAGTCATCTTCAATACCATAGCAACACTCCAACAACCACAGCATACCATAGTAGCCACTTACAAATAACCTAGCAACCACCCAAAATAACAGAGCAACATCCTAGCAACCACCTGGAATACCACTGCAACTATCTACCAACACCCCAGAAACCACAGCATACCACCGACAATACCATTGCTCCCACTTGGCAACCACCTAGCAACCACCTAGAATACCACAGCAACACCCTAGCAACTACCTGAAATACCACAGCAAGTATCAAGCAACACCCCAGCAACCACAGCATACTACCAGCAGTACCACAACTCCCACTTGGCAACCACCCAGAATACCATAGCAACACTCCAACAACCACTGCATGCCATAGCACCCACTTACAAATAAGCTAGCAACCACCCAGAATACAATAGCAACACCTTTGCAACCACCTGGAATACCACAGCAACTATCAAGCAACACCCCAGCAACCACAACATACCACCAGCAGTGCCATAGCTCCCACTTAGCAACCACCTAGCAACTACCTTGAATACCATAGCAACTATCTAGCAACACCCCAGCAAATACAGCATACCACCAGGAATACCATAACTCCCACTTAGCAACCACTGATAATACCATAGCAACACCCTAGCAACCACAACATACCACCAGCAGTACCATAGCTCCCACTTAGCAACCACCTAGCAACTACCTTGAATACCATAGCAACTAGGAACACCCCTTAGTAATACCATTGCTTTGAATTGCGTAAGCTGCAGGATCACGCTGCATTTTCTCCAGGACGTGCACTTTTCTCATTACAGTGTTTTGTTTATCCTTTTTTGTTCCCAGAATATTTTATATTGAACAACATCTAAAAGGACACTTGTTGTCTATTGTTAAGCACTTAAATCTGCATTGTACAAGTTATTAATGTACATAAAAACCTATTAATATGAACAGTGACTCCAAGCCTACAGTGGTGTAGATCCAGAGTTATTGTGCACATTTACAGAACTAAAAAGCTCCTACACTCTCAGTGTGACGTGTTCAGCCTTGCTGTGTCTGAGTGAAGGTCTGGGTGAAGTCAGGCGACTCCTCAAGCTAAAGCAGCAGATTAGAAACAGCAGGAGAGGTCAGAGGTCACACATTTGCTCTATTAGAATGGACTGAGCAGCAAACGCTGCTCTGTTGTCTTACACAGAGGAAGCTCTCCAGACCACTGAAGAAAATCAGCCTGTCCATCAATCACACCACACACAATCTCCACACACGCACAGATGGCCTGACAAACACAGAAGTTCATTAAAAAAGAGAAAAAACACTGAAAACTGCACTATAAACTCAATAGTAAAAACAAAGACAGCAATTTGACCAATTCCAGACTTTCCCTTTTATTTTTCATCAGAAAACAAGCGTACACATTCAACTGTACAGTCTTTCTTAGAAATGACTCGGTGTAGGTTGTGTACTGTTCTTAAAGTGTCAGTGAGTCCAACAAGACCAGAACCACTGCTGAACTCTCCTCTCAAAGGCTTGACCGCACAAATTAAGCTACATAACGGTCAAAAATGGAAAAATATAGAAATTCTTCACAATCTGAAATTTAATGTAAGTGCCCTGACCTCTGAAACCCATCACTCAATGACTAAACTGGAGAACACTGCTTCTTCTCAAAGTACACTCTTAAACAAGATGGTTCTTTAAGGGTTCTTTAGAAAGGCAATGATTCTATAGGGAACCATGAATATTCAAAAAACATTTGCATGCTTATAGGGTTCTCTGAATGGTGAAATACAGGGAGATTCATTTGAAAGAGGCCCCGAATATTCAGTAATAACTCGAAGCGATCTGAACGAAACAATGTGCAATGAGCTCCTCAGCATATGGAGCTCCCAACAAGCCGGGATGCCCCTGCGTCAGAGCGATGAGGTAGGCGCCGGACAGCCGTCACAACGTTTAATCTGTGTTTGCAACATCCGGGTGCAGACCCCCCGTACCCCTTCATGTGTCTGGCAGAAAAAAAAGAGATCACTTCCAGCATCGCATGTAATGCAATCAATTACACATACGTGAAGATATGCAGTGTATTTTTTTGGTTCAGATTGCTTCATCCTAACGGGAGTTACAGCAGAATATTCGGGGCCTCTTTCGAGTGAATCTCCCTGTAGTTCTTCAGATTGATGGAGCATGTTTTAGCATTGCTAGCCAGCTAAGCTGCTATTTGTCTGTGTTTCTATCACTGTCAGTGATTAAGTAGATAAAGCTCCAGGAGACATATTCTGTTTTCTATATTCTATGTTTATGAATCTACGTTGTTTGACATCCCATTTTTGCTTCTAACAATTCTTGAACAAATACTTCACAGCGCATCAAGAGTTTATCTTTGGCGATTGGGCTGCAATGTAGAAGGCTAGTGTTCGGTACATTTACAGTCATGATTGCATTTATATACCAAAAGAGGCAAGTATGAACATTTTTCCACATGTTAAAGCAATATTCTAATCTATACACAACGTCGAATATAAAAAAATCTATAAGCAAAGTGCATATTCACAGACTGGATCAGTCCATGTTTGATTTGACTTGATTTTCTCTGTTATATAATCGAACAGGATAGAAATTACACAATAACATAAGAACTGGTCCAAATATCCACTGTGTTCCCACAGTTTGTATGAAATATTTTAGTTTATTTTCATATATTCAGCAGCTTTTTTTAAATTTCAGCCCCTGAGAAAAGCCCGGTTGACGTGTATAATCTGTTACAGTAATAACTACGTCTGTGTGTCACTTTTTAATGCGTCCCTCGTTCAGTAAACTTTGTTTTGTGAGTAAAAGGCACAGTGATAAATGTGAAAGCATTTCCACAGAGGGCAGACGAGGTCAGATGAGGTCAGAAGGTGAAAGGTCAGATACTCTGCGCCCATGAAATGACGATGATGCAGAGACTCAGCAAACCCACAAACACACCGAACACCACGAGAGCACCCGCCTGCAGACAGAGAGAAAATATGTATTTATTATGTATCACTTAAGTTTTTTTTGGCTTCTGCTCACTGTATTGTCATTTTGCAGTGTTAATTGTTGTGTTCAGTTCTCATTTTTACATTTTACACTGACTCTAAAATGTTCAGTTACTTAGTTTGGTTTTAATACTGTCCCATATTCGTGTCGCTCAGTTCTGTACCGCAGTGACGCTCAGTTCTGTACCGCAGGTGTCACTCAGCTCAGTGCCGCAAGTGTCGCTCGGCTCAGTGCCGCAAGTGTCGCTCGGCTCAGTGCCGCAGTGTCACTCGGCTCAGTGCCGCAGGTGTCACTCATTCAGTACCGCAGCGTTGCTCAGTTCAGTACCGCAGCGTCACTGGGTTCAGTACCGCAGCGTCACTGGGTTCAGTACCGCAGCGTCACTGGGTTCAGTACTGCAGCGTCGCTCAGTTCAGTACCACAGCGTCACTCAGTTCAGTACCGTAGTGTCATTCAGTTCAGTACCGTAGTGTTGTTCAATTCTGTACCACAGTATCATTTAACTCTCAGTGTTTACTTCAGTACGAGTTCAGTACCACAGTGTTGATCATTTCAGTACCGTAGCGTCATTCAGTTCAGTGTGTAGTTCTGTACTGTTTTATGCAGTTACTCACCCCCACTGAGCTGCAGGACCTGATGTCACCAGAACGGATATGCAGGTAAAACAAACCAGGATACACAAACAGCAAACAGGTAGAGGTAGTGGAGCCTGTAGAGACACAGACACACACAGAGACACACAGAGACACACAGAGACACACACAGAGACACACACAGAGACACACACAGAGACAGACACACACAGAGACACACAGAGACACACAGAGAGACACACAGAGACACACACACAGAGACACAGACACACACACAGAGACACACAGAGACACACAGAGACACACAGACACACACACACATGTATTTTGGGAACAAAAAGTTGTTGAATACACTAAAAATGTTGTTGAGACACTGAAAATAAGTTTCCAAACAGTACAGCAACATTTTGCTTTAGTCGAGTTACAGAGGAAGATGAATGCAGTGTCAGGACAGGGCTCAGGTACTACCCACTACACTGGGACACTCACCCACAACCCCAAAGACGTTTCTGATGTCCGGTACGAAAACAGCCAGTAGGACCACGATCAAGAGGAGGAAAAGGGTGGAGAGACAGTGAGAGAGCCAGGAGAACTCCCTCTCGCCCCAAAACAACATCAACAATGATTTACGGGCCTAAAGAGAGAGAGAGAGAGAGAGAGAGAGAGAGAGAGAGAGAGAGAGAGAGAGAGTAAGCCATCTTACTGTAATAATGCCTCTTAAAGCTACACAGTATTACCATTCTGGATTGTTATGTTTATTGTCATTTAGCGACGCCCCGATAGCCCTTCACTGCAAGGTGTTGCCATATGGCAACAATGAGTTCCTTTTCATTTCTATTGCCTACCACAATATAAAAGTCTTTTTTCTCAATTATTTTGGGAAACAGAACATTTTAAGAATAATACATTTAATGTGTAATATATTTATTATAAGTAATATACTTCTTCTGATCGTATGTCGTCCTGCCGTAGTCTGATATTTCTTTTCTCACGTGGTGAGATGCACCACCTGGAATGCTTTTAAGGTGTGTGTGTAATTCAATATTTACAGAAAGCAGAATGAAAGAAAAAAAATGAAAGTCTATGCAAGGTCTTTTCTTTTGCATTAAAAAAAACAGCTTAAATGCTTTAGTTTTTACATAAAATGATAAAATACGATTGTTGCCTTATGGCAACAGCATTTAACAATGGAACTGTAGACTACAATTCATACAGTAAGAGTAAATTAACACTGCCTTCGTTTTATATTAGATCAATATAACTATCAACATAATTATTTTCACACTTTTCTGTATTCCACGAAGCACTTACACATTAATGGCTGCTATGCAGTTTATTGTAGTTTTGTATTAAATTATGTCCTTTTTGAATAAGAAAAAATCATGAAACGGTTTCATATAATTCATACAGTAAGAGGTGAATGTTAAGTATGAGCCTCTGCCAGTCCGATCTGATCTCTGTTTTCATAGATAATTCAGCCACATAATGTAGGTAATATAGTTTAGTCTGCTATTTAATACTACAGTACGATTATTTTGTTTTTACATACATAATGAAACACAGAGAAGACATGTTTTGGTTTATGGTCTACCTTTTTAAAATGGTCATTTTTTTTAGTGTTTAATATTGGCTTATGATCAAATTTGACTTGATTTCTAAATTTAATTTCATTTAAATTTATCTTAAATTCAAATGTTCTTAAACACAAGATACCAGTTATTTTACAATGCCTCCAGTAAAATCACAATTTCTGATGTGTATGATAGTCTTAATGTATATATTTATTATATTTTTTGTTTTTGCGGGCAATTTAGGTGAAAAATCCATTTGATATGAGTCGTGAATACACTATGATTTCGTGTTGCTCTAAAACGTTCGCAGAAGCTGCTCTTTCCTCTCAGCTTTAGTTGCGCTGTATCTGCTCGAGGTTTAGATGAATTTGGCTCAGAAACAGCTGAAACCTTCAGGATTACTGAACAGGGATTAAACCTCAGCACAAACTCACTGGGAAGTGTATGAGCGGCACCGTGAGCAGCACAGCCAGCAGGATCACCAAACGCACCGTGGTCACCAGGACGTCCCGCGGCAGGTAGGCGTCGTATCCTAGCAACAGCTCCGAGTCCACCTGGGCTGAAGAAAACACAGGAGTAGATCACTGACTGAGTTCAGACCAGGGTGGAAAACTCATTTGGGTTCGGTTAAAAATCTAATTCACACTATAAATCACTTGCATTACTAATATGTACCTGATTCCCTTCATACAGTTCAATCCAGCTGCTATCAGTGTCGAGGCTTTGATTATACTTTGCACTGCTTTATACCAACACTATAAAGTACTACGCTAATACTCTGCATAGCTTTATTGCAGTAAACAAACTGAAAACAAACTGCTAAAACTGCTACTGACTGAAAGACAACAGGCTTATATATAATATATAATATAAATTGGAAAAGACCAATTTAACCAGTTTAATTAATTAAATTAACTTTTCTTTCAGTAAAACCCAAAAGAAAGAGTCAAGAGGGTGTCAAAGAAAGCAGACGAGGACAAAGAGGATAAGAAAGTGAATAAATCAGCAAATAAAAGGTATATTTCATACGTTTTGTCATATTAGACCAAACCGTAAAGCGGGATCCACTTTAAACTTTACAGATTTAACACACAGATATAGAAGCTAGTTTTTTGTCCCTGAGCTCTTACCGTAGAAAGTGAGGTAACCGAAGAGAGCGGAAACCAAATAAACCAGGAAACTGAGAGAGATGCCCACATTCGCCACGTTCTGCATCCTCTGCTTAGTCGGCCTGAAATACACACACACACACACACACACACACACACACACACACACACACACACACACACACACACACTTCCTTTACAATAATTATCTAAATATTTACGGGCAAGTTATCTGCACTGTTCACTTTTTGAAAATGAGGCACTCTGGAGATTTCTGGACACACATTATTATCATCAATATAATAAACATCATCATCATCATCATCATCATCATTATTACAGACAGACAGAGTCCTTTGCAATACTTTTGGCACCCTGTTCAGATTTTTACCAAATGATTTTTATTATTTGTATTATTAATTTACTGAAACTTAACATATTGTGAAAAAAAAAGTCTGTGCAAAAGTTACGACATTATTTTATGTATTTTTTTCCAACATGTTCAGTTCAAAGTTGTGAACTAACATTTGAAGAAAAATGTTTTGAAAAAAAAAAAAGGATGCGTTGACTTATTTTCACTTAGTAAATCAACAACATGTCTTTTGACTGTGGACATTTGCAGACGGACAGGCAGATGGACTTTACTGATTCCCGGGTAAACGGGGAATTCTGGGAATGACTTATTTGAAGCCTGTGAAGTTGTACAGGTCTAGCATCTAATTAGAATAATTTTGTAGATGCATCTACAATAAAACTTGAGTATTATTAAAAACAGTGACTCTAAACGTGTGGACAGCAGTGTGTGAGGTGCTGTGTCTGTGCTGTGGTTCTACTGACCGATGGAGTTCACAGTAAATGGGCAGGATGGCAGTGTGACACAGGAAGGAGAAGGCCATGGTGGGAACAGCATAGGCACTCTAAAACACACACGCAGACACACACAGACACACACACACACAGAGACACACACACGCAGACAGACACACGCAGACAGACAGACACACGCAGACACACACAGACACACACACACAGAGACACACACACGCAGACAGACAGACACACGCAGACAGACAGACACACGCAGACACACACAGACACACACACACAGAGACACACACACGCAGACAGACAGACACACGCAGACAGACAGACACACGCAGAC